GATAATCTACAAAGTGCTCAGTTTTTGGCTTTGTTTTTCATGAAAGCAGAATTCTACTAACTGTCACTGTATTTTAAAAGCATCTTCCTTTCTTCATTAACACTACAGGAGCATCAGCAGGAACATCATCAGGAGCTTCAGCAGAATCCTCTTCAGCCAGCACTGCTCCAGTGTTTGGTTTAGGAGATAAATTCAAGAAGCCAGAGGGTGCCTGGGATTGTGATGTCTGTCTTGTACAGAATAAGGCTGCTGATGTTCAGTGTGTTGCTTGTCAGACAGCCAAACCTGGAGCTAATGTGGAGCCTAAAGGTAATTTGATATCTATGCTAAACGGCGATATAATATTGATGCATGATGGCATCTTGTTGAATCTTTTGAATCAAGTTAAACTGTCAAGATAGCCAAACCAAATCTAGTCAAAATATTATTTTTCCAGAAACTCAAGACTTGAAGTGTAACCTGAACCTAATCCACACTTTTCATGTTTTTTGAATTTTATGATCTGTTTTTTCCTCAGCTTTTGGTTCGTCTTTTGGTTCGTCATCTGGTGGGACTTCAGGCTCTTCTACCTCTAGTTCTGGAGGTTTTAAGTTTGGCACATCAGACAGTACCTCTGGGTCTGGATCTGGAGGTTTCAAGTTTGGGGGCTCATTTTCAGAAACCTCCTCATCTTCATCATCAGGGGGATTCAAATTTGGAATCCCATTTGGAAGCTCCTCATCAGAAACCACTTCTAAAGACACTAATGCCTCATCAGGGTTTAAATTTGGCAGCTCATCTGAGGGCTTTAAATTTGGGGCTGCCTCTAGTGATGACAAAAAGTCAGACCAACCTGCCGCAGGTTCTGGGTTTAAATTTGGAAACAGTGGTGGGATAGTGTTTGGAAATGGATCGTCTAGCACAGAAAGCAACTCTTCTAAGGGCGGCTTCACCTTTGGACTGTCAAAACCTGAAGAGAAAACATCAGACGCCACCACCGCCACCACCACGTCATCCTCTGTTAGTTTCACTCCTCCCGTTTCCTCTCAAGGAAAGAGCGACAGTGCTGCATCATCAAACGACACCACATCAACAATCACCAATGCAACCACCACAACCACCACCACTGGGTCTGTTTTTGGGAGACTGGGAGAGCCAAGTTTGGCAACCACGACACCACAAGGGGGCTCTACGTTTGGATCCTTACAGGCAGACAAAGAGCCAGCTGCTCCCACGTTTACCTTTGGGAAGCCAGAGGAAAAGAAGGAAGTCGCTGCCTCCTCAGCTCCATCTACCTTCCTCTTTGGTGCTGCTAGTAAAGATGCAGATGTGACACCAGCAGCGGCCACTTCTGGTGGCTTTTCCTTCAGCAAGCCCAGTGCTCCAACAGAACAACCTCCACCCGCATACACCTTTGGAAAGCCAGCAGATAAGAGCGAAACATCTGCTGCAGAGGCCCCAAAGCCCTCTTTCACCTTTGGACAAAGTGCTACAGGTATTTCATTTGTGACTTAGTAAACTTTTGATGTGTAATGACTTCCATGATTTATTTTGAAGTTGTTCTATTTGGCAAATTGTTAAAAGAAGAATTCGATATTTTGGGTGAAAGGTTTTCTTTCTTACCAAGAGTTATTTTTTGCCGTTACTGTAGAAACAATGTGTGCACAAGTAAAAAAAAATAAATATGTTAAACTAAAGTTAAAAAAAAGCTGAATCTACTGACTAGAAATTAACGAACAAAAACTTGGGTTGTTGTCAAAATAATTTGGCAAAACAATTTTCCCACTGCAATGTACTACACACTATAAACAACACTTTCTTTCTCCTGACAGATTCAACTGCTGCTGCTCCAAAACCAGCATTTTCCTTTATAGCTAGTAATCCTACCAACACCACCAACTCCACCACCTCGTCATCCTCAACTCCAACTCCCAGTCTGTTCGGCAGCAGCGGCAGCAACAGCTCCACCCAGGCTCCAGCTCCCTCTGCAGCGCCCAGCACTTTCATGTTTGGTCAGCCTGCTGCAACCTCCAGTGATACTGCTCCAGCTAAAGCGTTTGTCTTTGGCCAGAACCAGGATGGCCAGCTGCCTGCTCCCTCAGCTGCTCCTCTGAACTCTGTTCCAACCCCAGCTCAAGCTCAGCCCTTCATCTTTGGTGCTCCTGCCAGTGCTGCTGCTCCTGCTCCTGCTCCTGTACCTGCTCCCGCTCCCGCTCCTGCTCCTGCTCCTGCTGCTCCATCCTTCAGTTTTGGAGCAGCAGCACCCTCTGCTGTCTCATCTTCAGGTCTGTATCTGCTCTTGCTAGTTGTTGGGGGCTCAAATCTTGCATTTACTTTTACAATCTGTACATGTATTTATAATTTTCCTCCTTTCTCTGTTTCATTAACAGCTCCGTCTGCAGCCCCCTCTCCATTTGTATTCAGCTCAGCCCCCGCTGGTGGGTTTGGGGCCAACCAGACTCCTTCATTTGGCTCATCTTTCGGATCCCCTTTCACAGCTGCACCCTCCCAGAGCCCAGCCTTTGGGGCCAAACCCAATGCCGCACCTGTCTTTGGACAGCAGGCCAACTCCACACCTGTATTTGGGGCGGCTGCTAATTCTGCACCAGGTGGGTGACGGATATCATCGGTTTTCCTTTCAGGTTGTCTGTAGTACGCTGTGCTAGTGATCCTCACGATATGAAGTTTATCACATGTAGGTGAAATTATAGTTGCCTTTAAAGATGTAAATGTGCATTATATTTATCAGGTGGAGGCTTTCAGTTTGGAGGAGCCAGTGCATTCGGAGCTTCAAACAACACCTCAGGTGTATTTACTTTTGGAGTCGGTTCCACAGCATCTCCCGCCCCCCCTGCCAACCCTCCCATTGCACCCCAGTCAGGAGCACCTGGAGGTGGATTCAACTTCTCACAACCCCCTACATTCAATATTGGGTACGTTGCACCTTCTTGGTTTCCTTTATAAGTATATTTAAAATAACATGTGCATCTTTTGGCCCAATCAGAGTAAAGACACACAGTAGAGTACCAAACATTTAGAATAGATATTTCTAATGACAGATTATTAAACAGAACATCATTATTTATGTTCAGATTCAAAAATGTTCTGTAGAAATTATTCTTCACCTCTTTATTTCCTTGTGAAATATAGATTAACATAACTGCTCCTAACGCATCATGAATGAGAATGAACAAAAACTCCTCAGTGCAACTAAAT